GCCGACGAGTATCCAGAGTAGTGTACGAGCTATGTAAGAGTACCCCGAATACTCTACGAGCTACCCTAGAGTTCTTCGAGTTTACTACGAGTTATCTACTCGTGGCGATAATTTTGAACATGTTCAAAATTAGCGCCACGAGTTCAGAGCTGCTACGAGTAGGTAAGAGTCCTTTCCGAATCGTCCTACGAGTTTTTGCCGAGTTAGCAACTCGGCATTCTCTTGTAACTCGTATGCTGAAAAAAACCCTAGTGGGAGAGGGGCTTAATGCACAATTTTGACTATACTAAGCCAGGGATTTTTTTTATTCCAAGACCAGGACCGAGGCAGCCCCATGATTCGGATCTGTTGTCGGCAAATTTCTGGAGCCACTGCTGGTTGTTGCACCTTTTCTGTATGTTGACATGGAATAGGAAATACTTTGTGCAGCACAAATGAAAATGGAATTACCTGTACTTGTACTGTATATAAAATGTATCTGGAACATGGTTTATTACACCTTAATACTAAATAGCATTAAGCAGGAGGAGAAGCTCTGGTTAATGTTGTTAGCTGCTATGAAAGCACTGGTGTGACAATACATGCAGTAAACCTAGCCCTCAAGTCATCTTTGAATTATTGTTATTTTAATATTTTTGTTTTTGAATCATTGGATTTCATATAATTTAATGAATTTATTAACAGAACTAAATTTGAGAATTATTTTTGGTAATCTCACTTAGCACTTCAAACAATGTATTTGATAAAAACTACTGTAATATGCTAACCTATTTGCTTAGGTGAGATTTTTGTACCTTATTTAGTGAACCCGCTGCCTGCCAATAATAAATTCGAATAAACATAAAATTTTATTTTTGGCCAATTAGCCACGAAAATAATGGAAAAATTAAAAACCTCCTTCCTTTTCGCTGCACAATCTTATTGTGTCATTTATTTTTCTCTTTGTGCAGTGATGAAGCGTAATAAACTTTTTTTTTTTATTGTGCCTGTCACTGCCTTGAAATTTCCAAAATTTAGATACTGTATGTGCAGTATATTTTTCACAATTATATAAATGTAAACCTTTTAACCATCCTATTTAAATTCACACAATAACATTTTATTTTCTCAGTCTGGATGTTGTTTACAAAACTATTTGCTAAATAAGATCTTTAAAAAATGAAACAAGGTACAAAAAAGTTAATTTAAAAATGAAAATAAAAGGAACTTTATGGATACAGAAAACCAAGAACATTTATAGAGGTCATTTATAAAGATATTTTTGCTTGGTTTTTGTACAGAAAACTGCAGTAATACTGTACAGGTATTATTTTGCTTCCAAAATGATTAAAGTTTTAATCTCTAAACAGCTTAATTATGCTCCACTGTAAGACTTTTATCTATTGTAATTGTATTATACAATAAGTGTGGATTTGTATAGCACCAGTATTAAATCAAACAAGACAGGGGTGGGCAGATTCATTGATGTTTGGAAGGGGCCCTGTTCGAGATAACACTACCCTAGGGGTGGGGGTTCTAGACCCGAAAGTAACCTCTGATGCATTTTCGGCGATAAGAATTATTTTTTTTACTTTCCAAGGAGGTGCTCCACCCCCTAAATCTACCCCTGCAAGATGCTCCACTTGATGTGTGGAAGGGTCCCTTCATGTCTGTGCTACCTGGTAATTACAATAAAAAACACGGTAAAAACCAAATAAAAGTAACATCAATTGAGATTTGTAGCATAAGCCACATGGTGTACAGAAAGCATACAATTATTGTCAACTGGCCAATGCCAACCTTCAAGACTGACTGTGCATCATTCCACTTGCTGTTTCTGGGTCAACTCCATGCCTAAAATCATATCACGAAGCAAATACAGTATAGGAACATGACATGATTGCGGTGCAATTGCTTGTGTACAAGGAAGCCCCAACCATGGAGGAAAGTCAACCAGTGGTAATGACAGATTGCTCAAGTCCACATCCAGCTTAAACCACTGCCCCCCCCCCCATGTTTGAAGAAGGCACATCTAGATGCCTAGGAATGGTACTCAAAGTAGTGTTCCCCAATGAAATGATTTGCTTCTTCCGCCGATATACTATACATGGTCCATAAATATCAAAATTTGGTCTAAAATTTCAGAAATATTTGATTCTTTTATCGAGTCCATACATACAAATCTGTAGTCGATTTAGTTATAAAAATCAATGATACAATTCTCGTGTATAGCGGTAAAAGGATTGGTAAGAATAGGGCCGCGACGTTTACGCTCTTTTCTCGACTCCAATAATTGATTAAAATGAACTTGTAAAATTCCCCTAACTGACAAATGTATGGCTATTGCTCCAGTGGCAGGTTAAGAATCTTGTATGGATTCATATTATACAAACAGAAAACTCAATATACATTGTTCCATTATTTTCAATTTTTATTACAAAGAAAATAACAATTTATACAGAATCCCATGTAAGCAGTTTGTTTAGTGTACTTCTGTGTAAGCGTTAGTACAGTAGTGTGGAATAGTTTTGATAATTTTATTTCACAGACACAATGATAAACATTTGTGAAGTATGAAATTGCCTTTTCTTAAAAGCATCTGCATGTCCTTACAATTTGCTCACCTCAGCCCTAACTATGGTGATTTTTTTCCCTCTAAAATTTCCATTTATTGATGAAACCAGAAGCTACCAGGCCAACAATAATTTGATTTTAAATAATAATTATCGTTGCACAAGAGGTTTGCGAAAGAAGTCTTGCCTAATTCAAATATACATTTATGGCCTAAATTTTGTTGTAGCGGAGACTGAAGCTTCATGCTGTACAGTACTGGTTCATGATCACTGTGAGTAGGTCCATTATCTGTAAGTACTCATCTGCCCCGTCTATCAGTCGCTTGTCAACAATTGCGAGTCGTTCGCATATCTTGGACTTCTGGTTGTCTGTCAAGTCTGGCTGGTTCACTATTATTTCATGAATCTAAAAATAAACATATAAAGTATTTTAATTATATAAAATAACACAGAATATATTTACATAGTTTGTTTTGTACAGGGGTGTAGTGCCAGTGGGTGCTGAGCGTCCAGGTCTGCCGCCATGGAAAGCTGGTTTGTTCACTCTCAGGGAGAGAACAAATTTTATAGATTTTTTTTTTTATAGATTGTCAAGATGGATTAAATAAGCCTTTCCAACCCCTAAATTGCTATACCCCCTGAAGAGTTCTGAGCAACTCCTGACAACACCCACTTAAACTCTCGTCAAGAAAATTCCCCCTCCCCTGCCAAGACTTTCCCACCAGGGGCATCGCAGCCCTGCTGGGCAAATCCTGTCGCCACCACTATTAATTATTGAGTTTAGCTTAGGATGTTATTTACAGCAAAGCCTAGCTGAAAGCATTTTCTATTCAACTTACTTGTAAAATCATCTGGCTGGCTGCATAGCCCTCAGCAAGCACTTCTGTCACTGCTTGATCCAGCTTCTCAAATGAGTTAGAATGACAGGTCTTGATGAGTTCTGATACAACAGAGGAAGGAACTGACTGAAATGCAAATGTACGTAAACTTGTTAAGACGTTTTCTTCAATTCAGTGGACGTTTCTTATTAAATGCAAGTGCAATGACAATACACATAGTGGAATTACAGTACATTTATGAAATGGAAAAACCATGCAAGAAGTTAGCTCATTCTAAGCTAAAAACAGCTCTCAGCAGACATGCTTGACACAAACGGCAGAATAAAGCCAGAGTTATTTTTTTCACTACATACATACATATACACTAGCCATAAAATATGAGCACTCTGACCAATTTATTGGTTACAAACTTTGCAAGTTGAGCTGTTTATCTCAAGCATGTGGATGAAACACACTGGGTTGCCAAAAATATTATATATAAATATTTAACTGATTTGAGCCTTGAGGACTACTTAAACTGAATATATTTCCGTTTAATAATACTACCCAAATATTTATATAGCGCCAATACCAAACTGAATGATCAAAGATGAGAATAGTACCCCTGGCCACTGGATAACACACAATGGCAAACCAGCACAGAGTGCAACCTGCTTTGCTCCTTGGGGAGTATACCTATTCGTTTGCTACTTCTTTTAGTGCACGAAACTAGTACATTCAATGCCACAACATCCTACCAGGTATCCATTTATACACCTCGGTAGAGAGAGACAAACGTATATAAAGTCTCTTGCCCAAGGATACATGCGACTTGCACAGTAGAGTTTTGAACCCCTGACCTCAAGGTTGGGAGTCCAAGCTACAACTGATGTGCTTCTAATAATAAATCTGCTTTTAGAACACATTACACAAATGTCTCAATGCTCTTATTTTATAAGCTAACTTTTGGGAGAAGATTTCCCTGACCCCCAAGAGAACTTGAGATGTTAACTTGGAATTTGTGGAGAAATGTTTAAACATAACCCTATCTAAAGTTCTCTTTTATTCTCAGAACCTTCAGAAAAGTTTTGGTGATCCTCATTTTGTGTTGTGTCACAATAGTTTCAATTTAAGAACCAGGAGCTTCAACCTATAAACTTACTCCTGCAATTTCTTGGATATCACTCTCCGTGATACCTTCATCACCTTTGAGTCGATGTGCACTTTGAAATAGAGTGACTGCTTTTCGAAGATCGCCCTCTGTCACTTGGATGATTGCTGAAAATGCCTTGAAAACAAACCCCAAAACATTAGGTTAAGAGAAATACATTTGAAGCAGATATTTTCAAATACTAATAGTTATGGAAACCAAACAGCAAGGTCTTACACTCTCTCTAGATTATCAAATATCCTTTGACAAAAAACAGCTATATGCTCACATGACCATATTAAGGAATGTTCTGTCAAATAAAATTTCATAGTCTGTATAGGGTTTTAAGGAAAGCCCAAGGTGAATGGAAAAAATTATGTTTAACAGCACAACATAGAATAGATCTGCATAGTTCACACGACTAATGGGTGGCCTTTAGTATTGGGCTATCAATGGCTCGTATTTAAAGGCAGGCACTCATTGCGGCAGTTGGTCATCAGCTAACAGCGTCGCCTAATGCTCACATTAAGCGCAGTTGAATTCGTCGGCCAGCCTGCCCAGCTTTAGATATAGTTGTTTCATTTATACTGGAAGGTCTTAAGCTCAGTTTCTATACAGTACAATTGCTACACGCTATTATTAATTTTACTTACAGATCGTTAATTCATAGAAAACGCAACAATTTGGCATGTAAAATAAGATCCACTTAGATACATGAGTTATATTTTGAGTTGCAATTGTATTTGTTTGGCAGATATTAATAATTACTGTATATATTGTCTCAATTTTTATATTCATAATTAATTACTGTATTTATTGTCTCAATTTTTACAATTATAATTAATTACTCTCTATATTGTCTCAATTCCTAGACGCAGGGTCCCCGGAACGCCGCCCTCAGCGGCGAGTGCGAAGCACAACTCAGGGTCAGCTACCCGTATTTCTCAACTGAGACGTCAGTGGGAGCTGTAATTTGTATGGCAAGGAGATTGTGCAACCCTTAATTTGTTTTAAGGGAATTTACGCCCAGAAACCTTGTAGTTATTAATATTTTGGTTATAATAAAAAATATTCATTTTTTTGGTGATGTCACACTCACAATATAGTTAGCATGCATACGTCATAAGCTAGATTACGTCACCTTTCCCTGGTAAGGCAAACTTTCCCGGCATGCCTTTTTCATGGATAAACAAACACCACTGCTTTGCACATTGATGCCTTGCCTAGCTAGGGCTACAAGAGCCATGATGTTAGCATTGTATAATTATAAACATGGTACCTCTGCAACTGAATTACTCTTAGTTATTTGGTTTTTTTTTTCTTATTTTAATTTATTTCTTTCGAAAGTGTACTTTCTATCACATATAATTACACTGCCTAGTTAGGCCTTGGCCTAGGCCTTGTCTTATTGTTATGCCCCATCGTCCTCCTGGGACCTACACAGTACATCAGTAGCCCGCCCGCCTACCCATACAGTACAGACGTTTGCTAGGCAACAGAACATGATTGCACCTTCCTTCCCAGGTGTAATTACATTGGCATATTGTTAGCTAACCAGTTGTGTGTGTTTCTTTGTGAAAATGAGTACCGC